CAAGAGAGAGAGAGGAGAGAGAGAGAGAGAGAGAGAGAGAGAGAGAGAGAGAGAGAGAGAGAGAGAGAGAGATAGAGAGAGAGAGAGAGAGAGAGAGAGAGAGAGAGAGAGAGAGAGACAGAGAGAGGTGAGAACGAAAGAGAGCAGATAGACGGAGAGCAGAGAGAGAGTAAGAGCAAGAGCAAGCAAGCGAGCAGGTCAGAGCACCTGGAAATTGCTTCTAGGATAATTATGAAATGTAAATATCCAACATTGCAACATTCAATTTGAACTTAACCCAAAACGGCGCCAGTTTTTCCCCGTCCGTGTTAGCAAATTACCAGAGAACGGCCCACCTCGGCCCACAGCCCACACTAGTGACAAAAGTTCTGCCCAGTAAAAACAGTCTTAAGCATTTTATTTTGGCGAGGCTCTATACATCTCTTGTGGTGTAGAGGGCACTGTACAGAGGCGTAGTGACAGCTGTGGTGTAGAGGACACTGTAGAGTAATATGGTGATAGTCATGGTGTAGGTTATCTTGAGGTTATCTTGAGATGATTTCGGGGCTTCAGTGTCCCCGCGGCCCGGCCTCCACCCCCCCAGGAAGCAGCCCGTGACAGCTGACTAACACCCAGGTACCTATTTTACTGCTAGATAACAGGGGCATAAGGGTGAAAGAAACTCTGCCCATCGTTTCTAGCCGGCGCCCGGGATCGAAACCGGGACCACAGGATCACGCGTCCAGTGTGCTGTCCGCTCAGCCACCGGCTCCCTCGACGTCACAAAATAAACCTGAATTAAAGTATACTTAGAATTGATATAACTTTTGATTTAAATACATTTTCACCGCTGTATGAGGCTATTCACACAGGCGATTCAAATATCTTAGGCTATTGTATCCTTTTGTGGTATATTTCTTTCTATAAACTGCAAATAAGTTGCTTTTATCATAATTAGCATAAAATTAATATCAAGTAATAATTAATCATCATTCACTAAGCAAAATGTAAGCAGAAGTCACTCTAAAAGATGATTTTTATTAGTAAGATTGAAAATGAGTTTAAGCGGGTGAGAAGGGCGGTTGTGCTCCGACGTTAGCGTGCTGGTAGGTATATTGACACAAGGTTAGACCCTTCTTGTCCTCATCTGCCGTCCTCGCGCGCGCTTCAGGGGTTAAACGGTCTGTCTCTCCTACCTGTTCCACCTGGCAGGGGCCGTGTCAGCTGGTGCTGATGGTGTCAGCTGGTGGTGGTGGTGTCAGCTGGTGCTGATGGTGTCAGCTGGTGATGGTGGTGTCAGCTGGTGGTGGTGGTGTCAGCTGTGCTAGCAGTGTCAACTGGTAATGGTGGTGGTGTAAGCTGGTGATGGTCGTGGTGTCAGATGTGATAGTGGTGGTGGTGGTGTCAGCTGGTGATGGTGGTGTCAGCTGCGACAACGTCAGCATCCCTCATCATTCCTGACGCTTGCCGGCGCCGGCCTGACCTACTCTTGCATGAACGCCGATGCACAAACTCTCCACAGATGAAATTATGATCAAAGCTAAGCAAACACTCTTTTGGTGTCGGGACAGGCGGACACACACACACACACACACACACACACACACACACACACACACACACACACACACACACACACACCACACACACACACAAGATGGGATCCAAGAGTCAATGCTCGATCCTGCAAGCACATATAGGTGAGTACACACACACACACACACACACACACACACACACACACACACACACACACACACACACACACACACACACACACATTGGATATAATCACAACGTACAACATACTGATGGGAATAGATAAGATGGACAAGGATAGTCCCTTTAAACTGAGAGAAAGCAGGAGAAGAGGACACGGGTGGAAGCGCAAATGAGCCGAAGGAATGTAAGGAAGTACTAGTACCCTGTAAGGGTAGTTAACAAGTAGAATGTTCTAGAAGACGAGGAGGTGGAAGCCACCTCCATCCACAACTTTAAGGTCCGATTCGATAATGAATTTGTAACTCAGAGTAGTTAAGTTAAAACGCAAAAGGTACCAGGGGCCAGATTCACGAAAGCACTTACGCAAGCACTTACGAACGTGTACATATTTCCTCAATCTTTGACGGCTTTGGTTACGTTTATTAAACAGTTTACGAGCATGAAAACTTGCCATTCAACAGTTGTTATTGTTATAAACAGCCTCCTGGTGCTTCTGAGCTCATTAACTGTTTGATAATCGGAAACAAAGCCGCCAAAGATTGAGAAAAGATGTACAGGTTCATAAGTACTTGCGTAACTGCTTTCGTGAATCTGGCCCCAGGCTAGTAAGCAGGGCATCAAGAGCTATACATCACTGCCTTATAGACACTAATACGTAAGTACTGATAGGTGCCTACACACACACTCTCACCAGAGAATCAGAATGCAAATGTATCCCCAGACTCCATCACTGAGGCACTGGTAGCAGATGGATATAAAATAATAGTGATCCTGGTAATTTGCAGGCGATGAGTCACAATAACGTGGCTGAAGTATGTTGACCAGACCACACACTAGAAATTGAAGGGACGACGACGTTTCGGTCCGTCCTGGACCATTCTCAATCGACTTGAGAATGGTCCAGGACGGACCGAAACGTCGTCGTCCCTTCAATTTCTAGTGTGTGGTCTGGTCAACATCCTGGTAATTTACATCCCTCGTAGCAAACAACACAACGCCCAGGCAGGAATATGACAACAAAACATGCATAGATGAACTACAGAGAGCAGCAACAGCGGTACACAGAATGAGAGCTAAACTTCTAGGCATTGGGGGACCTAAATTATGGAGAGATTGATTGGGAATCCAGAAATCCCCTTAGTGGAAGAAACGTGGGGACCGAAATTACTGGAAGCGGGACCGAAATTACTGGAAGCGGGACCGAAATTACTGGAAGCGGGACCGAAATTACTGGAAGCGGGACCGAAATTACTGGAAGCGGGACCGAAATTACTGGAAGCGGGACCGAAATTACTGGAAGCATTTAAAGGACACAAGATAAAGGGAAGGAGATACACTAAGCCTCACGGGAGACATCTCCCGTCACGCAGGGTGCAGTCGCACCTCCACAGATCTCCAGTATCAGCTCTTGATACAGGTAATGGCTCAAAAGGGCCACCACTTACGGGCTATTCATGCCCGTGCCACCTTTTGGGTGGCTTAATCTTCATCAATCAAATCAATCACTAAGCCTACTGGACTTGATCTTCACCCAGAATGAGGAAGACATCAAGGATTTGGAGCATGAAATACCACCAGGAGCAAGCGACCATTGTGTCCTGGTATTCGACTATATGATCGAACTTAAAACAGTGCCCATAAGACAAGGAGTCAGGGAATAGATTATACAAAAGGAGACGACATGAAAGTAAGAGAGTATCTGAGAAGTTTACAATGGGAGGAGGACCTTAGAGGGAAGACGGTCCAGGATATGATGGACCGAAGTTTGCAATGGGAGGAGGACCTTAGAGGGAAGACGGTCCAGGATATGATGGACCAAGTAAAACTGAGGTGTAAAGAGGAAGGAGAGAGATTCATACCACCTGGTTGATGGGGTTCTGGGAGTTCTTCTACTCCCCAAGCCCGGCCCGAGGCCAGGCTCGACTTGTGAGAGTTTGGTCCACCAGGCTGTTGCTTGGAGCGGCCCGCAGGCCCACATATACCTGGTTGATGGGGTTCTGGGAGTTCTTCTACTGCCCAAGCCCGGCCCGAGGCCAGGCTTGACTTGTGAGAGTTTGGTCCACCAGGCTGTTGCTTGGAGCGGCCCGCAGGCCCACATAAACCTGGTTGATGGGGTTCTGGGAGTTCTTCTACTCCCCAAGCCCGGCCCGAGGCCAGGCTCGACTTGTGAGAGTTTGGTCCACCAGGCTGTTGCTTGGAGCGGCCCGCAGGCCCACATACCCACCACAGCTCGGCTGGGATCCGGAACTTCTCTTAGAAAACAGTCCAGTTTTCTCTTGAAGATGTCCATTAAGGGTGAGTGAATATAATAACCCGTAGTTCAATAAACAGTGCCAGGAAGCAAAAGCAAAAAAGCAAGAGGGAAGTGGAGGAAATACAGAAGGAAAAGGACAGAGAAAATCCGGAATAGATGCAACAGGGACAGGAATGACTACATAAACATATGAAGATTGGCAGAAAGAAACTATGAAAATGAAAATGCTTTCAACGCAAAGAAACAACCGAAACTCCTACATAACTATAAGAAGGAAAATGACAGTGAATAACCAAATGACTAAGTTACGAAAAAAAGGGGAGGACAGTACACAGAAAATGATAAAGAAATTTGTGAGCTCAGTGCCAGCTTCCATGGAGTGCAATCCCTGGAAACACAAACCGAAACTGTCTCTATTTTACGCTTATTACAACTTGTAATAAAGTTGTTACACCTTGGCTTAACGTGTTTATGACGTATTAGAACGTTGTTACAACTTGCTATATTGGTTGTTATAGTTGGTTAGGAGGTGTTAAAACTTGTTCAAACGTTGTACCAACGTCGTAGTTTCGGTGTGTGTTTGGCAGTTGTTCACTACCGAGCCTAAACAGCTCCCAGAGGTAGATGCGGAAGGAGCCCCTGACGAGAGACTATTAATTATTAAGGTAAGAGCGGAGGAAGTAAGGCTATAACTAACATCACTAGATGTAACTAAAGCTTTTGGGCCAGATAGAGTATCACCATGGATGTTAAAAAGAAACAGCACCGGCCCTCAGCCTACCTCTGACACTAATCTTGAACGAGTCACTTACAAAGGGGGAAATTGCCCAACTGCTGGAAGAAGGCAAATGTGGTGTCAATCTACAACAAAGGAGATAGAGAAGAGGCACTTAACTACAGACTAGTGTCAGTCACAAGTATTTTAGGTATAATTCGGTTAGGCTCCTTTAGCTCTGACTAATAACCAGGTGGGTAAGCGGAGGGTGAGCTTCACCTCTGGTTAAGAGGACCTGGACGCACACCCTCCAACTAACTCTCCCCAAACATGCGTCAGGAATATGAAGCGACGCCACCACGACGCCAGGAAGAGGAGACAACGCCACCACGACGCCAGGAAGAGGAGACAACACCACCACGACGCCAGGAAGAGGAGACAACACCACCACGACGCCAGGAAGAGACGCCAACACCACCACGACGCCAGGAAGAGGCGCCAACACCACCACGACGCCAGGAAGAGACGCCAACACCACCACGACGCCAGGAAGAGGCGCCAACACCACCACGACGCCAGGAAGAGGAGACAACGCCACCACGACGCCAGGAAGAGGAGACAACGCCACCACGACGCCAGGAAGAGGAGACAACGCCACCACGACGCCAGGAAGAGGAGACAACGCCACCACGACGCCAGGAAGAGGAGACAACGCCACCACGACGCCAGGAAGAGGAGACAACGCCACCACGACGCCAGGAAGAGGAGACAACGCCACCACGACGCCAGGAAGAGGAGACAACGCCACCACGACGCCAGGAAGAGGAGACAACGCCACCACGACGCCAGGAAGAGGAGACAACACCACCACGACGCCAGGAAGAGGAGACAACGCCACCACGACGCCAGGAAGAGGAGACAACGCCACCACGACGCCAGGAAGAGGAGACAACGCCACCACGACGCCAGGAAGAGGCGCCAACGCCACCACGACGCCAGGAAGAGGCGCCAACCCCACCACGACGCCAGGAAGAGGCGCCAACACCACCACGACGCCAGGAAGAGACGCCAACACCACCACGACGCCAGGAAGAGACGCCAACACCACCACGACTTCAGGAAGTTGAAGCAACACAAACATTCTACTTGACGTCTAACGTGTTGTCACCACCAAGACCGTAAACACATCAGGGCGGTCCCCACGGCGTCGCCAGCAACACAAGGGGCATCAGCATAACACGATGTTGTTAGCAACATTATAAGGGTGTCAACAGTAGCATGAGGACCTAGTATAAGGCTGGTGGGAGCGTCAACCTTCCCACGGGGCCGAGCAAAGGGACAATCCCCCGTTCACCTACAGCTGGTTTCCGGGCGAGTGAGCTGGCCAAACAGTCGGGACCTGCACAATTAGCGGTGGGTCGATTCCCCGCGCTGATTCAAAGTTCCAAATGGCGCCTCTTGTCCTCTCTCCATGTTGCTAAATCGGTTTCTTCCTCGCCTTCTGAAAGCCCGTGTTTTTTCGTTTTTTTAATTTGATTCCTGATTGGCGATTCTCAGCGTCACGAAAAGGGACTAAACTAAATTGTTTTTTAGTAGCCTGAGGTATAGGTGGTTTAGTTAATAGCCTAAAGAATGGTTGACTGTCATCTGCATTACTTTTGTTCATCATACATGATGTATTATCATCAGCACAATTCGGTTTGTAAACATTATTGATGAATCTAGTGAGTTAATTTTAAAATTGAATTCTTATACATGGTATTCAAACCACAAGATAAACTCTAGATTTTTTGGTCAAATGTGATGTCTGTAAGTAGATAAATTGCTATGATTTGCCGACAGTTAGTGTACATTTGCCGACAATTCATTATCTATAGTTAGTGCTTGTCTAATTCATTATCTACAGTTAGTACGTCAATAATTTTTCCTCTGCTTTGATTTTTGTCTATTTCCAACTATACAACTTTAGATATAGCCTAATCAACCCCGCTAAGTATTTTTTTACTTTTTTTAAGTAGGCCTATTTAACAATTTACCGTCCTGGGTGTTGACTGATTGCAATGCAGATATCAAGTTTCCTGTTATTTACAGAATAGATGCTAATGTGTTATCATAACAATATCTGCTGTGTTATAGGAACTGAATTGATACAATGGTAACTTATAGATACCATTGCTCAAAGAGGAACTAACCCCCACCTGTAGATACCATTGTACCAAGAGCCAAGAGGCACTAACCCTACCCCCCTCTCCACCTGTAGATACCATTGTACCAAGAGGCACTAACCCCCCTTCACCTGTAGATACCATTGTACCAAGAGGCACTAACCCCCCTCCACCTGTAGATACCATTGTACCAAGAGGCACTAACCCCCCCCCCTCCACCTGTAGATACCATTGTACCAAGAGGCACTAACCCCCCCTCCACCTGTAGATACCATTGTACCAAGAGGCACTAACCCCCCTCCACCTGTAGATACCATTGTACCAAGAGGCACTAACCCCCCTCCACCTGTAGATACCATTGTACCAAGAGGCACTAACCCCCTCCACCTGTAGATACCATTGTACCAAGAGGCACTAACCCCCCCTCCACCTGTAGATACCATTGTACCAAGAGGCACTAACCTCCCTCCACCTGTAGATACCATTGTACCAAGAGCCAAGAGGCACTAACCCTCCCCCCCCTCCACCTGTAGATAACATTGTACCAAGAGGCGCTAACCCCCCTCCACCTGTAGATACCATTGTACCAAGAGGCACTAACCCCCCTCCACCTGTAGATACTATTGTACCAAGAGGCACAACCCCCCTCCACCTGTAGATACCATTGTACCAAGAGGCACAACCCCCCCTCCACCTGTAGATACCATTGTACCAAGAGGCACAAACCCCCCTCCACCTTTAGATACCATTGTACCAAGAGGCACTAACCCCCCTCCACCTGTAGATACCATTGTACCAAGAGGCACTAACCCCCCCTCCACCTGTAGATACCATTGTACCAAGAGGCACTAACCCCCCTCCACCTGTAGATACAATTGTACCAAGAGGCACTAACCCCCCTCCACCTGTAGATACCATTGAACCAAGAGGCACAACCCCCCCTCCACCGGTAGATACCATTGTACCAAGAGGCACAACCCCCCTCCACCTGTAGATACCATTGTACCAAGAGGCACAACCCCCCTCCACCTGTAGATACCATTGTACCAAGAGCCAAGAGGCACTAACCCCCCCCCCCTCCACCTGTAGATACCATTGTACCAAGAGCCAAGAGGCACTAACCCTCCCCCCCCTCCACCTGTAGATACCATTGTACCAAGAGGCACTAACCCCCCGTCCACCTGTAGATACCATTGTACCAAGAGGCACTAACCCCCCGTCCACCTGTAGATACCATTGTACCAAGAGCCAAGAGGCACTAACCCTCCCCCCCCCCTCCACCTGTAGATACCATTGTACCAAGAGCCAAGAGGCACTAACCCTCCCCCCCCCTCCACCTGTAGATACCATTGTACCAAGAGGCACTAACCCCCCCCCCTCCACCTGTAGATACCATTGTACCAAGAGGCACAACCCCCCCTCCACCTGTAGATACCATTGTACCAAGAGCCAAGAGGCACTAACCCTCCCCCCCCCCCTCCACCTGTAGATACCATTGTACCAAGAGCCAAGAGGCACTAACCCTCCCCCCCCCCTCCACCTGTAGATACCATTGTACCAAGAGGCACTAACCCCCCTCCACCTGTAGATACCATTGTACCAAGAGGCACAACCCCCCTCCACCTGTAGATACCATTGTACCAAGAGCCAAGAGGCACTAACCCTCCCCCCCCCTCCACCTGTAGATACCATTGTACCAAGAGCCAAGAGGCACTAACCCTCCCCCCCCTCCACCTGTAGATACCATTGTACCAAGAGGCACTAACCCCCCGTCCACCTGTAGATACCATTGTACCAAGAGGCACTAACCCCCCTCCACCTGTAGATACCATTGTGCCAAGAGGCACTAACCCCCCGTCCACCTGTAGATACCATTGTACCAAGAGGCACTAACCCCCCTCCACCTGTAGATACCATTGTGCCAAGAGGCACTAACCCCCCTCCACCTGTAGATACCATTGTACCAAGAGGCACTAACCCCCCTCCACCTGTAGATACCATTGTACCAAGAGGAACTAACTCCAGCGTGGGTTGTACTTGCAGGTTTGATATCAGCGGGAGTGTCAGTACCAGTGCAGATCCCAAGCCAGACTGCCGACCTGAGTGCCGCCAACTACTGGCCGCGGCTACAGTGATGGTCCTTAATGCGGGAGCCGGAACTACCCGCCTCGCAGTATTCTCAAGTCTAGGCCACCACTCGCTGGACCTGCGCCTGCTACGGCCGAGGTTCGAGTGGAGTTTTTTGTCTATAAGTATGGTATACAGACCCGTAACGGCGTGGCTCTCCTTAGGGAAGTGACTTTACTCATGGAGTGCGGTGCTCCTCTAGGGTGTAGCTTACCCAAAGGGGCGTGATTTACCCATGGGGGGAAGACTTTCACCCATGAGGCGTGACCTTAGTGATAGTTCCTCTTCTGACATGACGAAGATCGGGGCTATCACCGCGATTTCCCGCGGGATAATGTCAGCATTGTGCATATATGTAGTTCTGATTTTGTACCACTGCCCACATCTGGGCTGGCATTATGTGGGATCGTCGACGTTGGAGATAATGTATTGATACAAATTTGTGTTGTAGTGATGAGATACTTTTGTAAGTTCTCTGTTCCCGGTAGAAAAACAAAACACAACTGAACTGCGTTTTGACCAACTCGTGTAATCTGCGCTGATACTCCTGCCAATATTCTTTTTTTTTCCTTTAAAGTTTCTTAAGCGCATTGTGATAAATTTCGACGGAAAATATCACAAAAATATAATAATTAACCCGTTAGGTACAAAGGACGATAGCAGTTGTAACCCAAATATTACTAATTGTATAATGCATGCTGTCATATACATTGGTATTTGAAAAAATGTAAGAATTACGAAGATTCTCGTAGCTTAGAATTACTCTTTAGTTAAGCTGCTCGTGCTGCTGACTGCAGCGACCAATATTCTCAAGTCAGAAAAAAAAATGAAATTAGTCACAGAAAATGGTATGCTGTAGCCGGGCACAGCTAGACAGGTGGTGTCAACTGTCTCGGCGTTTCAGTGATGGACGGAAGCAGATGACGTCTTGGCACCTATTTATTACTGTATAAAGGTGTGAAACAAGAAATGTGTATAGTGTAGTAGAATGTGTAGTTTAGCTATCATACTCATGCGTAATACACAACACAATTCCTCCCAAATCTCCCACCAAAAAAAAAAAATAATAAAAAAAATACTCCCTCGTTTAAATAGTTTCGCCTCTACGTTTTCTTTCTGCTATTTAAGAGCGATCAATTTATTTTCCAGGCACAAACCCTTTTCTCCTCAAGGCACTTAATGAGTTAAGAAACTTCTAATCACCAGATTTTGTGGCGTGCTTTAACAAGTGGCGGGCCCCGGTGGCAGGGCGCCCCCCCCCAAAATACCGGCTATTAACGCGTTCTGTACACGGCCCCCCTTCAAGGGCCCCCCACGAATGATATCACTGCACTTATGACAAATTCAATCTGATCAGATATCAGACTTGGTTTCACCTGAATAGCGCCGCATTTCACGAACTAATTTCCCATAAAATTAGCGACAAAAGACTTCATTCTGAGCGCATGGTGGGAATTTTACAGCATATTGGCATGTTGACAGTGCTCAGTGTAGCGCGAGCGACCGCCGGGGCGCTCAATGGCTGTCACTTGCAGAATGGCGGGCGGGTCCGGGGCCGTGTTTATGCTCAAAACTACCCACATGGCCGCGTCTTTTCCTCCGCCCGTAATTGATTGGTGTTATGTGAATGGCTTACTCTATTTTATGTTTTGAAAAAAAACAAACAAAAAAGCGAAAGACCGACCTAAACAAGATCTATTGTGGTGCGTTCTGAAATTTTAGATTTTTTTTTTAATTATAAATTCTAGGTTGTGAAATTAGTGAGAGAAAAAAAATGGTTAGCGTCCCGCCAAAAATGTGCAAAAAAATGTTGTATCCGTAATTACGAAACTGAGAAATTGCAAAACTATAAAATGCAAGTCTAATTAATTTTTGTGCACTCTATTTCTA